AAACCTTTTTTTTTTTTTTAAACATAGCACAGATTAATGCTGGACATTAGAATCATAACGTGTTCATACTAGAAAAAATCTCAGAAATAATTTAGAGATAATTCTCAAACTGCAGCATCAGAATTCCCTGAAAGGCTTATTAGAACACAAATGGCTGGGCCCACTTCCAGAGATTCTGATTTAGTGGGTCTGGGGAGGGCCCAAGAATTGAACCAGGGACTATGCTTTGAGAACCACTGTGCAATCTACTTGATTTATTGATGAGGAATCTGAGCTCCTTAGGTTTTTATCATATTATGCTAATGCTAAGCATTTTTTTAAATAAATGGAAACTCTCCAATGTATCAATATGAATGATACTTTTCTACACTTAGTTGCTAAATTATGACCGTATGTTTTAAGTGGTAGTTCAGAATGAAATATTTCACAGAAAGGTTTTCCTTAGTCTTCTCCTTTTCCAGTCTATGTCTTGTCCCTTTTCCATCTGCCCCCACAAACCCACCACCAGTGGCAGGGTAGCGTTTAGGAACTGTCTATAGATGGGATACTGTCCAGATTTTACTGAACTCCTAAATTCTGTATGCAGACAAGATGTGATTTTTCAATAGATAAAATGAGATTATCTATCTACCTCAGATAGCAGCATACTCAAAAATTTGCAAAAATCAACTGGCTTATATGTGAAAACACCTATAGAACCCAAGTAGGAGGACTTCGGTATGTCTTTATTTATTAACCTTGAAAGGTTCCTTCCAGCCTCTGGGCCTTGACATAATGTTTCTCCTTCCGCCCACTTTCCCTTTTGTTTTAGACTTAAATATGACTTTCATTGGCAGGGGTAGGTCCTCCGGTGATATTCTGTCTTCTAGTTCTGGTGCCATATCTTACAGAATGTGTCACAATTACACTTTAACAATCTGTGCAATGATTTGTATGATTTACTAGACTGTAAATTCTGTTAAGAGTTGTCTGCTTGGTTCTTCCCCAGCTCCTAGCACAGCATTTGATACACAGTAGGTACTTGTATTTGTGGGATACATTCCTAGCTGAAGATTAATTTAGTAGTGTATATGTCTCAATCCTAAAATCAGTCCCGAAGTATATTTTAGTACCATTTTGATCTCAAAAAACTTTTAAAATACCATGTAATATTTTAAGTTCTGAATTTTAAATTAAAATAAAAATGTAGTATCAAAAAACTATAAACAGTAGTATCCATAGCAGGGATTAAGTTCTGAGCTCGTTCAGTCTTTACCGTATTATACATCTGACAACGTACTTGACAGAAGCAACACACATTGAAGTACCATCTTAAAATGGTTGTGGTAGAGTACAAATTAAAACTACCCTGGAAGACCAAAATCCCTTAAATTAGCAGGGCAAGAACTATAAGGAACTCAAAAGCCTCCAGTTAGCTTCCTTTCTTTCAGCATTCTTTTTGCTGTGATGACTAAGGTCTGAAATATAATTTGTCTACCCAGCCCCATCTCCTTTTCTGCCAGGTACAGCTGAACTAAGTTGGGCTAACAAGGCAGAAAATGGGCTCCAAACTTTGCTGCATCTGTCTTTCTGGTGGCCCTCTTTATTACACCAAGATCCCCAGACACCACCTGCAGGCCTAGAACAGCCTACTGCCCAGAACAGTGCCTACTGCCAACTAGAGCATAAACTGCTCGTCCTCTCCACCACCAAGTGCTTTATGGGCCAGGACACAGCCTCCTGGGCAGTGGTCCTTGACCTTGGAATCTGACCTTGACACCGACATCACTGGATCATTAGGAAAATCCATGAGCCTTTGACTCCCTGGAGACCAGCTAAATCAGAATTGCTGCAGTGGGGCTGGGGCATTTTTCCAATGATAAAGTCTTTTTCTACTCAAGAAATAAACTCAATTCTGATTGAGTCAGGGTTTCATGAATTAAGCTTCCTACCTACCCCAAATTATTTCACTTATATGTTGTAAGATGTTCCCATTTTTGTGAGTTTTGTATGGTTAACTAAGTGAATGGGAAATGAAGTATATCTGTTAAAACCTAATCAATATTAACTTGTTAAAAATACTCCACAATCTAAACCGCTTTTACATCAATGAAAAGTTTGTTTCAACACCAGAGGATAAAAAACAAATCAACAAAAAGTTATAAAAATTAGCAAATCTGATAGCACCAATTCAATAAAGCAATTTAAAATCATCTAGTAGCACATTCTGTAAAACTTTGACAACATGATGTTACTTGGTTATAATATAATCATGTACTTCAATCATTTGAAAAATGGTTGTTTAACTCGAAGGCAGGATTTTAAATGAAAAACAAATGGCCAGAAATACAAAGAACTAGGAATTAGGAGACAACTCTGTTTCTAGGCTCTTCACCAACAAGTTCTTAGCCCCCCATCTCTCTACTTAACCATCATTTAGCAAACACACCATATGAATTGCACGGGTGCCGAGTCTGCTATAAGAATGAATATATTCTCCACAACAATTTACATATTTATTCACCTCTTTCTGCCTCTTTTTCCTTCTTTTTGGAGTTCAAAACTTCTTGAGTCTATAATTAGTAAATGTTATAAAACTGAACATATATATTATATGTGAACTGTTAAAAAACAAAATTTGAGGCTGGGCACAGTGGCTCACACCTGTAATCCCAGCACTCTGGGAGGCCGAGGTGGATCACCTGAGGTCAGAGGTTCGAGACCAGCCTGGCCAACATGGTAAAACCCCACCTCCACTAAAAATACAAAAATTAGCTGGGTGTGGTGGAGCACACCTGTAGTCCCAGGTACTGGGGAGGCTGGGGCAGGAGAACTGGTTGAACTTGGGAGGTGGAGGTTGCAGTGAGCCAAGATCGCACCACTGTACTCCAGCCTAGGCGACAGAGTGAGACTCCGTCTCAAAAACAAAAACAAACAAAATTTGAACAAATTTAAAGATGTAATCGGCTTTTATTAGCAATTCATGAATCTGGCAGCATCTCAACTGAAAATTTAGAAAAGGTGTTCTGATTAGCTGAGCAGAGGTGGGCTGAAGAGGGTTGAAGAAGCAAAAAGAGAATAAAAGACAGACTGGTCATTTCAAAGTTACTTTCCTTATAGAGACAAAATGGAGGAGAGACTTTTTTATCACGCTGGCTCAGGTAAGCCAGGCCCCCTTGACTCCTTGCTGTGTATCTTCTGGATTTTTTGACAACTGGCCTATTTCTAAGTTGTTTGATTATGTGGCAGCTAGCACCAGCAACTCCATTCTGATTTGGCCTGGTCTGTTGGGCCTAGTGCAGGAGTTTAATCTAAAACAATGGCTTCCTATACATTTCATTTAACAATACTAATAAAATACCGCTTTTATTTTATTTTTTACATTGGAGTCCTGCTGTTAAGAAAAAAAAAAAAAAACAGGGAAAAATCATGGTAGAATTGAAAGACCGAAAGCTACTAAAAATTGATACCATTTAATAGTCCTGAATAAGTTGTTTCTAATTATAATTCAGCTACCAATTTCAAGGAGAAACGGAAATTTATAAAGTTGAAATTATGAAATATGATTGCTGGGAAGTACAAAGGGACAAAAATAAAAAAGCTGAACCTATCCTCACTGCCACTACTGCACTTCTACCCTGGACAACTGCAACCAATCCCTCCCAAAGTGGTTGTATCCTGGCCCACCCTACACCCACTTCCTTCTGAAAAACCAATCCACTTTCCTTAGGATAGAGTCCAAACTCCTAAACAAGGCTTACAAAGGCCCTTCAAGATCTGACTCTTGGCGTCTTCTCACCTTCATACCCCAAGCCCCAGTCTCATTACCAGTCATTCTTACCTCTATGCCCCACCCCCCAGTTTCATTACCAGTCATTTTCCCACCACTCTGCTTCAGCTACCCTAGCCTTCTTTCTGGCAGTTCCTGTAAAGAGCAAAGCATATTCTGGCATCAGAGGCTTTGCATTTCTAATTCTCTCTGCTGGCAAAATCCTTTCCCTAGACCTTGGCATGGCTGGCTATTTGTCATTCAGATGGCTGCTCAAATGTCACTTCTTCAGAGACCTTTCCTATCTTTCTTAGTTCGTTTCCTTCTGCTTATAAAATGATTTCTAAAACTCGGTAATTTATAAAGAAAAGTAATTTATTGTCTACAGTTTTGGAGGCTGGGAAGTCTAAGACTGACGGACCACATCTGGTGTCAGGAGGCAGCGCTGCTAAGTATCACGTGGTCAGGGGGCTGAGCAGGCTCACGTGTTGTCAAGTCTCTCCTTAAAAAGCCACCAGTTCTACCTCCATGATAACCCATTAACCCATGAATAGATTAATCCACTCATGAAGACAGAACCCTCAAGATCCAACCACATCTTAAAGACTCTACCTCTCAGTACTGCCACATTGGGGATTAAATTTCAACATGAGTTATGGAGCGGACAGATATTCACACCATAGCACTACCTATCTAATATAGCCCATCACGTCCTGGTCAAAATCGATCCCACCATTCTGCTTGATTTTCCTCATATAACCCATCCCTATCTGATAATTTTGTGTATGTCTCCCCGAAATCACTATCTTGTTCACTGTTGTCTCCCCAAGGACTAGAACTGTGGCCAGTAAACACTTGCTAGATGAATATAAAGTGCTTAATAAACATGCCTTGATCAGTTTATCTTGCATTTTCTCCACGCCCCCTCTCCATTCATTCACAGGAACCCGCCAACGTTGCTATCCTTTCAGGAAAGTCCTTGGCCCGGCATCGCCATCCCAAAGACAGGCCCTTCTCCCACTCTAGGGGAGGCATTGGCAGCCTGGAAGCTACCGGGGTCTCAGGGACCAACAGCCGCGCCAAGACCGGGTACTTGCGTCTGAGAAGCGTTGAACAGGGGCGGAGAGACAGGGCACCCCTTTGTTTGCTTCCTGGAGCCTGCCGCCCTCCCAGCCTTAAGCCCTGAACCAGTCCCTCATTTGGCCGCACTCGTGCCTCCCCTGCTGCCAGCTCAGCGGCCGCTGCCGGTTACCTGCTTGGGATCTGGCTCAGGCGAACACTCTTCACACCGCCATTCGAGGGAACACAAATGCTCCCTCTGGGCCACCGTAGTTCACAGAAAGTACAAGCTGGCCCCTCCCTCCGCATGCGCAGAGCCCGCGTTCGGCGTATAGTGTCTCTTAGCAACGGCTTTGAGTCCCTCCGCCAGGGGCGGAGCCTCGGAAGCCACCAAGGGGAAGCTGTAGGGGGAAGTGAGTGAGACCAATCGGAGACGAATCTCTGCTTCGTTCGGCACGCCTCCCTTAACTGTCGCGAATGCAGAGGCAACTTTACGGCAGGCAGAGGGTGGGGGCTGCTGGGGGTAAGGAGGAGAGAAGGAAGCAAGCAACCAACCAAGTCGCCCCCACTCCCCCCACCCCCACCCATCCCGGACCTGGTTTACGGCTCCAGGCTCAGGCTCCACTGCGGCCGCTGATTGGTTGCTGAAGGCTTGGTCCCATCCCAGTGACCCCAAAGTGCTGGAGGGAGGGGGCGGGGGTGGCCCAGTGCAAAGTGCATCTCGAAAGCCCCCTGTCCGGAGACCCCACGACTGGCACTTCGGGCCCCGTATGACCTGGGACCTCGCCGTCCCGAGACCTCCTGGGTCCTTCCGTAGCTGGAAGCCTCCGGCCCGGAGCGCGGCAGCCCCCTGCTCCGAGCCCTGGACCGGGACTGCCCCCCCACCCGAGCCGGGACTTCCTCCCTGCCTCCCTGCACCCCTGCCCCAAGGCTGCCCGGCGGCCGGGATCGCCACCTCCTGCCTGCTCGTCTGTTCGGATGCTCGCCGGGCTGGGGCCGTGAGGCACCGAGGAGGTTCAGGAACGCCAGGGTCCGGCCCTGCCTGGGGTATTTCTTCTATGGAGAAGTTGGTGAGTGTAGAGGAGGCTGAAAGGAGGAAGAGAAGCAGCAGCTGAGGAGACAGGTAAAGTCCTTTACCTCTCCCGAGGGGAAGAGGGCTGGCTGAGGAAGGAGGGAGGAAAATCTCTGCTTTTTCTTGCCTGCTCTTGCCACTCTCCAGCCCCTTTCCTGAGTTCCCCCTTCTTCAGAGCCCCCTCCTCCTCACCCCTGAGGCACTACACCACTCACTGGTTTCTGTTTTTCTAGGTTTGAGCTGGCTGAAGAGGACGCGAAAGCAGGAACGGGTCTGCCCACCTATCAGAGAAGCAGAAGGCACAGTGCCTCTGACCAGCATCGTCTATAAAGGTAATGAGCCAGCCCTCCCCTCCCCCACTGTTTATTCCTGGCCCCTACCTCATTAAGCAGGGGTTTATTTTCAGGGTGGTTGCCTGGGAATGCAACCTTTTCTAACTCCCCCACCCCCAGTTTCCCGGGAAAAATAAAAACATTACCCGTGCCTGATCCTTAACATTTTATAACTTCTCTACTCGGGAACGTATTTTCCCACTTTCTCTCTGTACAGTGTGTTTCTGTGTTTTTCATTATCTTTTGGTACACTGTGCCATTTACTCTGCTCTGAGGCTTTGAGACCTTTTTGTAGCTACCCTCCCTTCCTTACTCTCATAGGAATTCCTCAATTCCTTGTTAATTGCTTGTTAATTCTGAACGACTTTCGTTTTTAATTAAACCACAATTTACTGTTTTCCCCCTTATTCTTTCCTATCACCTTTCTTCTACCAGCATCAGAAAAATCTTTTGAGTTATCGAACTGACATCGATTTGGTAGAGAAAGGTAAATTATTGGCCTGAGATTTATGAGTTTCAGAAAATAATTTGATTTTATTTCCTACTAGAAAGCCAACCTGTGTACCTTAAGAGTGTGAATGGTATGAAGGCAACATTATTACCCTGAAGCACTTAGGCGTAATTAACTCTTTGGGCTTTCTGTGTGTTTGTGTGTGACAAATGTGGATGGGCTTTGAAACTTATAAAGATACAAACAATGTTTGTTACACCTCAGATTTTCTAGAAGAGCTTTTAAAAATTTACACAATATCTTATTAATCATTTGACTCAGGATTTTAAAAACAAAGGAACCTTTTGGTGTGTTTACATATCTGGGTCTTAATTTTAGCACTCTATAAAAAAGATTTCTCTTTCTAAAACCTTTACATAGAGTTTGCTAGATTGAAATTTAGGCATCCAATTCATGTGATCACATTTCTTCTGCCATATTTTGTTGTTGCTTCTGAATATGCACTGAAAGTAAACTTAGGACATTAGTGTAATTCCTAAAAAGGGGATATAAGCATGAAAATTATACAAGGTTTAATTCCAAAATTAGCCAAATGAATGACTTTTCTAACGTCCAGTAGCAAAAGTATAAAGTGACTTGTTAATCTGAGTTATTTTAATATCCCAGATTGTTTAGGGAATTTTTGTTACAAGGAAGTACTTAAAATAGCAGAAGTTAATATTTTTGATTTCCTATGTTCCACTGGACTTTCTGCCTTCCACAAAAAGAAATTAGCATCTTTACTGATTCTGTTAATTCTCAAGACATAGCTAAAGACGTTTTTAAGGGGATCTGCGGTATACATATTCTTGAGACATGGAACTGCATGCTAAAAGAAGAGATTCTAGGGAATAGGATTTAGAATCAGTATCTACCAATGACTGTTCCCTGATGAATACTTAGGGCAGCTTTTGTATGTATATGTGGGGAATCAGGAGTACTTGACTATGTCATTTCAGTAAAAGCTAAGCAGAAATCTTTAAAGGCTAATTTTTATTATGTAAGTATGGAAGTTGCCAGGGAGATGGCCTAATGATTACTTCAGAACTTTTAAAAAATGCTAAAATATTTGAAGCATGTTTTAAAGATCAAAATGAAGTACTGTGTTTTGTATTCAAGCCTCTCAGTTAAATATTTTTTCAGCTTTAGATTTAACTCTAGGATGCTTTCATTTCTAAGAAGTAGTTTCACCTGAGATGATAAGGGAGGGAGTCTGTGGCTATTCCAGTATATAAGGTAAGAGAGGAGAGGGCTTTACTCTGACTCTCAGCCAGTTCATTCTCATTGCTTAAATAGTATTGGATCATCTCATCTTTTAATGGTTTTTCTAAGATTAGGGAATATATATAAATTGTCAACATCTGTCATGTTTCTAATATCAGAATGATTGAGAGAGTTTTGTCTAGATTATACCAGACATTTAGAATATTTAATTTGGGTATTTATTTACCAACATGGCTAGTTAGGTAGCTTACATTTTTTAACCTGGCAGTTAGCTTTGTATTAATTCTATTGCCAATTATGTGGCTTTAAAAAAGTCCAATTTATTTGGTCACCAAATATAGATTTATAATCATGTAGTGCGAATAATTGATTTTAATTGAAGATATACAATGATGCATCTTTAGTATACTGTGGCCAGTACTTACATTCTTTACACATAAAGTGATGTCATTTACAATTATTTAATACTGTGACGCATACAATATTTCTTTAATTCGTTCATGTTTAACTTTGGTGACACAGAGATACACCTCATCCCTAAAAGGTCTAAAGCCAGATATCATTTATATTGGCATATCTGTTACCTGACTTGCAGCCTTCCATTTCATAATCAACTGAATACACTTCTTATGTAGGATGATTGTCTCCTTTCTTGCAAACTTTCTAGGAACTGACACAGGCTGCAAAGATGGTGTTGGCAGACCTGGGTTAATAGGATAATATTGACAGGACCTCATTGTTATAATACTTGTGATTTAAGCTTTGAGTTGGGTCTGGATAAGTGAATTCTAAAATTTCTTCTGTTGCTTCATCCACACTTCATGAAAGTTACTGGTTTCTCTGCTGGAATTTATGTGAGTCATGGATAAGCTGTGCATGGTAATAAACCCTTATGTTATATGGAGGCCCAGTAATTTGGAGGAAATACTAATGCCTTTATTTGTTTTGGAACATAACCACTATGCTATATTTTGTTGAGTGTTACTGAAATAACACTTCTACTTTATTTTGGGTTCCAGGCTCCTGATCCTATCAGCAGAGCTTGTGAACAGGCGTCTCAGCCATGTTCTCCATTTTGGTAGGGCCATGTAGTGTTTTCACATCCGTCTTCCCTCTTAGATCTTGTGAATGTGAACCATTGAAGGATTTTTTTTTTCCTCAGACCCAGTGTCATTGGAGTTGCTGATTGCATTTATTTTCTTAGCAGCGTGTATTTTTGTTTACTTTGCAAAGAAATGCTTATTTCTTTCTTTGAGCAGCAAGCCAATATCTTGTTTCTAAGTTTATGTGACATTGGAAAGCACAGTTCAGTTTACATCACTTAATCAAAACTGTGGACTTTTAATGATAATAATATGCAAAAAGTCATTAATGTCTAATCATTTATGCTGAAGGAAATTTGGGAAATATGGTCAAATTTGGTGAAGGTTTTATAACTTTGGACAGGTCTTAAGCATATTTTGTTTTATGTTTATTTTATTCTTCACTCTGTTCTATCAGTATAGACTTTTAACTGTGTGAAGCAAGAAGTTTTGGGTTTAAATGAACTACACTTGACATCTATGTGGAAATTAGATGGTAATGTATTTGAATTTCTAAATTAGTAGTTTTTAATATGGTCAGTAGTACTAAAGCTTGGAGCCTAGATTGTTTTATTTTGACCCCGAGTGGAAAAGAAAGTCTTCCTTGTTTGTATGCTTTTTTTTTCCTTCTGATTGAAACCTAGAATAGAATTTCTAAAGATCATACCCTCAGAGTATCAGTAGCTCCTGAGTCCACAAAAGCTTAACTGAACATACATAACTTAGAAAATTACCTCCTGGCTGGGCACAATGGCTCACACCTGTAATCCCAGCACTTTGGGAGGCTAAGGCGGTGGATCAAGAGGTCAAGAGATTGAGATCATCCTGGCCAACATGGTGAAACCCCATCTCTACTAAAAACACAAGAATTAGCCGGGCGTGGTGGCTCGCACCTGTAGTCCCAGCTACTCGGGAGGCTGAGACAGGAGAATCGCTTGAACCCTGAAGGCAGAGGTTGCAGTGAGCCAGGATCATACCACTGCACTCCAGCCTGGCGATAGAGCGAGCCTCCGTCTCAAAAAAAAAAAAAAAAAACCAGAAAATTACTTCCTTTGCTATATTCGTTTTTTATTTTATAGGTGACTTCCGTGAGCTATCAGTTTTTTAGTAAACTCCCTGAGGGAAAATAGACTTTCTTCTATTCTCATCTCTGGACTTCCTCTGTCGTTTTTTAATAGACATCTTTCCCACTGGATATTGTGTTTGCTTTTCAGTTCCATGGTCTTTTCTTCATTTATACACATGTGACTAGCCCTACTCTGTCAGGCGCAGCTCTCATAAAGTAATACCAAGAGGAAATTACTTGTTCTTGCTTTTGACTATTTGGGGGTCTTTTATAATAAATTATTGTCTGTCACAATTCAAAGCAGTGCACTGACAGGGATCATGTGTGCATGACTTGTGTGTATGTTTTTTTCTGGTAAACACTGATGCACTAGTACATGCAGGGAGTACTTTTTTGGTTTAAACCTGTGGTTATTGTTTATAGCACTTGGTATTTTCAGAAAAGAGAAAAATAATCTTAGAATGTCTGGGATTTTTAAAAATTCATTTTAAGTATGCAGAACTCTATTGTAATACCACCTGGAGGTGCTACCTGTGGCCAGACCCTATCACTGTGCCAAGTACTTGTGAAGCATTTCGTAGATATTTGTTTGTTTGACTGAAGGAGCTCGTATGGAATTATCACAAGTTGCTACCGCCTGTGCATCTTTCTTGTGGGGAGAAATAGTTTCGCCACTTCATCTTCTACCACCAGGCCTTCTCTTGATATTATTAATAAATTAACACCATTTCCTATTCTGCTCAGCTCTCATGCCGTCTTCCCTGTCACCTCCAGCTGCCTCCGTGGACGTGGAGATGGGTAGTTGGAAGCCAGCAACAACCACAGGAATTCTTACATGCTTGAAGCTATATTGGGTCATTTTAACTTCTTATGGGAAGCAAGGGGTGCTGAGGACACACTTAGAATTGAGAAGTCCAGTAATGTTCACTCTTGAAATGTAGACGTAGCTCATGTGAAAAGTGGTAGCATATTCATTTGTGGCAATGTGTGAGGCTTATCATTGAAGATGTTGATTTGCATTTTAAAATAAAATTTATTATAGGAAAGCTTTGGATTTACAGAAAAATTACAAAGGCAGTACAGAGTTCCTAGATGCTCGACACTCAGTTTCTCATATTAACGTCTTGTATTAACATATATGTTTGTCACCACCTTGAGGAGGGACTATCTATACAAATTATTTGGAATTCTGAACAACAGATGTGTTTCTCCCCCTCTTTATTTATCCAATCAGTTATTTGTATCAGTGTGAACTCTTGGTATCTGCTTTGTACTTTGTCATTTGGTACTATTTTAAGTATTGTTCCAGTTGTTCCCTTTTTGGCTATTGAGGGATCTTTCAGTTGGCTCCTGTGTCCCTTTGACTTCCCCCATCCGTGGTGTCTTTCTTTGAGCACCTCCTTGCTTTCTGGCACTGTGCGATGTTCCAGTCTTGGAATCAGCCATTTGTATAAGGATCTTTTTGCATGTTTCACAGCTTGTTTCGTAGGATTTGTTCTGATCCTGTCTGCCTCATTTATTTAGAAATAATAATAGAATTTTAAAACAAATTTTATTTCCAAGAGCAAGTTGGCAAACTCTTTACCTTCCTTGAAGAAGTTTGACAAGGAAAAGTAGATGAGAATAGAGGAAAAGAGAGAAGTGGATATACCAATTTGGATTGGTTGAAAATTCTGGTGTGCAGCTGGCAGGACATACAACTGCCACATGCCAGGTTGCTAAGTGGTCTGACCTTTTCTTGTCTGAAGGTTTAAGTGATGCTCACCCACCATCGGGGGATGGGGTAGTAGTTCTCCCAATACGTAATTCCTAGAGTTTTGTGTGGAAGTCACTTTGTGTCTTTAACCTTGATGGAATTAACAGAGCTGAAATTTAATTGACAAGAAGAATGATCCCTTTTCTTTTAGTTGTAGAGAGAGTTTATTCAGAATTCGCATGGGGAACCTGGCAAGGCTGTTGTTAATGTTTTATCTAGTTTGGTGTATGCATAGAGGAATAACAATTTCAAAGTGATTGACTTGATGCCTTTAGGGCATGTGAAGAAAAAGCATTTAAAGACACAGTCTCCTTTTAGTTGTCATAGATTTTATTTTAACCCAGGCCACCTACTATATTTAATGCACACATATTCTCATTTAAGTCCTGTTTAGAAAGTGCAGGTGACTAATGGTGTCAGTTAAAAAGTAATTCAGATAAAGCAAGTCTGAAACTATATTCTCAGTAGAGGAAAATGAAGAATCTGTTTGCATCTAAATTCCAAATATGTGATTTATTATTTTTTTTATTTGCTCTTTTTCAAATAGCTGCATTTTGGGGGAAAAATCCTGAAACTAAATTATTTCTTACAGAAAATAACAAGATTATTATTTCTGTAAGAAAATAATCTTGTTATTTTCTGTAAGAGTTGATCTGAGTTCTTTCTCTGCTCTACAGATTTATTGTAAAGCCCTGAAGTTTAAATTCGTCAAAAGATAGACTGTGCAGACAGCTATGATTATTATTTTAAGGAATTTTCCTATGATTGTTATTTTTATTTTTAGGTCAAGAAGGCTTTTTTGCTCTGCAAGCTGGACATATTTTGAAGCCCCTCCCCACGATGCTGTATGTGCACAATGGTTATTAGGCAATCCATACATCAGGAGAAGGGACACTCTTCCATAAGGTGAGTTGACTCAGGGTCATTGATCATCTGTGTTGTTCTGGGGGAAAACTCATTTAACTTTTTTACTTCTCTCTTATATCGGTTAATGTGTACTAAATACACCACTCACTAAAGAAAACCCAGGTTTGTTTTCATATTGTTTCAGTCTTTTTCTTGTGTGGTAGACCTCATTTTAAGTGCCAACATAATCGCTTCATTAAAAAGAAAATCTGTTAAGGATGATTGTGAGCATAGTAAGTTTCCATTAGTTCCTTCAGATGGTCTTCAGCATTTTCTGTTATAACTGAGAATAAGCAAAAACCTATTCTGAAAGGATTCTCGTTTTAAAATTTCTGAGAAGGGACAATTTTTGTGAAGGAATTGAGAGAAGAAATAAGAGACAATCTTGTGGTGGGGCGCGGTGGCTCAAGCCTGTAATCCCAGCACTTTGGGAGTGCACATCACGAGGTCAGGAGATCAAGACCATCCTGGCTAACATGGTGAAACTCCGTCTCTACTAAAAATACAAAAAAATTAGCCGGGTGTGATGGCGGGCACCTGTAGTCCCAGCTACTTGGGAGGCTGAGGCAGGAGAATGGCTTGAACCTGGGAGGCGGAGCTTGCAGTGAGCTGAGATTGCACCACTGCACTCCAGCTGGGGGACAGAGCAAGACTCTGTCTCAAAAAAAAAAAAAAAAAAAAAGGAGGCAATCTTCTCTGAGGAAATAGCTATTTGTAGAAGTAGCTTGATATTTTTAAAGTTGAGCACTTAGTCATGATACTTATGAGTAGGTAATGACACCATTTCCTATGTATAAAACAACATAGGATATTTGTATTCTTAAGTTGTAACGATTTAACTTAAGTTAGCCCTAAGTTTACCTTTATACAGTCTATAATAAGTTTTGCAAGATAAATGATTGTTGGTAGCAAGATTATCCTGAGATGTCTAACCTACATATGAGAACAGAAATGTCTTTAAAGGGCTTTATCACACTTAATTTTTAGAAACAGAGGCTGCTAGTTAAGAGATGAGTCTAATCTATTCCTTCCAGTTAGCACACCTGGAGTTGCTTTCCAGAAGCTTGTTAGTTTAGTTTGCTGTATGTAGTTAAAAACTTAAAAACACACTAAAAATGTTTTTGTATACACGCGTAAGATGCAACTTTTTACCATTTCACTTTGGACTGTTCCTGTTTCCATAAAGGAGGTCTCATTTTACTTTCTTTAATTTTTGAGACAGGGTCTTGCTCTGTATCCCAGGCTGGAGTGCAGTGGCACAATCACAGCTCACTGCAGCTTCGATCCAGGCTCAAGTGATCCTCTTGCTTCTACCCGAGTAGCTGGGACTACAGGTGCACACTACTATGCCTGGCTAATTTTTTTATTTTGTATTTTTTTTGTAGAAACAGGGTCTCACTGTGTTGTCCAGGTTGGTCTCGAACTCCTGGGTTCAAGTGATCCCTTCTGCCTTGGCCTCCCAAGGTGCTGGGATTACAGACGTGAGCCACTGTGCCTGGCCAGATATTTCATTCTGTATTCAGTTTTAGTACAGTCCTCTTTTCTGAACTATTAGAGAGTATGAGAATTCACTGTACTACTTTTCCTTTCAGTAATTTTATCATGTGGTTAATCACCAGATTGTTTAGATTCTTTTTTTGTTTTGTTTTTTTGTGATAGAATTTCACTCTGTTGCCCAGGCTGGAATGCAGTGGTACAATCTCAGCTCACTGAAACCTCCACCTGCCGGGTTCAAGCAATTCTTGTGCCTCAGCCACTCAAATAGCTGGGATTACAGGCATGTGCCACCACACCCAGCTAATTTTTGTGTTTTTGGTAGAGACGGGGTTTCACCATGTTGGCCAGGCTGGTCTCGAACTCCTGGCCTCAAGTGAGCCGCCTGCCTTGGCCTCCTAGAGTGCTAGGATTATAGGCGTGAGCCACTGTGCCTGGCCTGATTGTTTAGATTCTTAAGGTTTTAAAATATATTGTATCATCTTGCTAGTTTGTTTTTTTGTGGTTTTTTTTTTTTTTTTTTTGAGATGGGGTCTTGCTCTGTGGTCCAGACTGGAGTGCAGTGGTGCTGTCATGGCTCACTGCAGCTTTGATCTCCTGGGTTCAGGTAATCCTCCCACCTCAGCTTCCTGAGTTGCTGGGACTATAGGTGTGCACCACCACACCCGGCTAGTAGTATGCACTGTCATTAGTAAGGTTTACTGATTTAGCAAATGGAATGTTCTATAATATTTAATGGACACAGTATCGGGAACCAGCTATTCTAAATTTTACATTTTCTACCTTCTCTTCTTAAAGGCTGTTCCCCGTGACCTAATGAATCCTTTGTAAAAAGTGGACTCAGCTAGGATGTTACACCATCATTGTCGAAGGAACCCTGAACTCCAGGAAGAGTTGCAGATTCAGGCTGCGGTGGCTGCTGGAGATGTCCACACAGTGCGAAAGATGTTAGAACAAGGCTATTCTCCAAATGGCCGAGATGCTAATGGCTGGACTCTGCTTCATTTCTCTGCAGCAAGAGGAAAGGAAAGATGTGTTCGGGTTTTTCTAGAACACGGAGGTGAGTTTTGTAGAAGCAAATCTTTTTCCCCAAGGAGAAGCATAAATTATTTTTGTTTAAAATGTGTCTATGTGTAATTTTTAATGCTTCTTTTCTGTTAATACTCAACATTTTATTCTCTCTCCTTTGTGAAGATTTGCTATAAGTGTGCCTTTTTGTTTAAAACCAGATTGTTTAAAAGATCAGTTTTATGAATGGATTATTTTCGCTGAAACTGTAGTTTCTGTACAGCCAGGTTTGCCCAGGTTATTTCAGCTAAGCAACCTTTCTTCAGGTTGTCCAGTTGCTTTTGTTTCAGAAGCAGAAGTGGCTGTGGTATACTCATAATTAGAGAATTACACAAGTTTCCCCTGTTGATTATTGCTCAAGCATATAGACCGAGCACCAGTCCTTTAAACATCATGGCCTAATGATACCTAAATCCTTATCTTTTTCTTTTAGATGCTTTCCTTTGTTATTTTAGAGCACTTGTTTTTTCCAGAAACTGTACATAGTTTGTAGGTATACTGTAAGAAGATTGGTTATCTGAGATCTAATTTTGTATAAATATATGCAGTTGGAAACTATATTTGACATATTAATGTTTTTGCTTCAAAAAACTGTCCATTCCCATGGTTTTTAAACCAATAATTGTCCAAAACTACTTTCTCCAGTTGAATTTCAACCTACTTTATTTTCCTAGAGATGGATTTTATATATATTTGATCATGTATACCCATATTATCTCTGTAAATTATGGTTGAAAGCAGCTTGGTTGGGGACTCAAATTACATACGTGCCATTCTAGGGCTTTAATTGCTCATTAGAAGTGATTTAGTTTCCTTGCTAAGGTGCACTTTGTTACAAAACTAGCCAAACGTACTTGCATTTTGAGGTGCAGAAAAATGTTGGAAGTTCTAGAATTCTTATGAGGGTCATGTGAATAATATGAATACAAAGGCTAACAGGATGGACTGATTGCAAGGCGTGCTAACACTGAGACTAGGAGTAGCCGTATGGCCCAGGGGCCTTGAAATGGGAACTATATGCCTGAAATAGTTGACCATTGTCAGAACCCAGAAATTCTCTGGCCTGTGCCTACTTTGTAGCTTGTCTTCCATGTAATTTCACCTTATAACACAAAAACCTCAGTTCTGAAGTTGATGAAAGGGAAATAGAAGTGGAATGCCAGGAAAAAGATATGTAAAAAGTAAAAGGTGGGTGTAAAGTCAGAACGGTTAAAATTTTATGCAGGGTTTCATGACATTAAGACCAAGATCAGGGCTCACAATGTTTATTCCACCTAGTCCTGTTGCTTTTCACTTCTGCCAGCCTCACTTTAAAAAAAGTTAATAAAAAATATTCTGTTATTCAAGTAATACATGAATATTGTCTCTTTCAAACAAAGCAAATCTTCAGTTAAATTACAAATAAAGCCAAAGTCCCCTTTGACTAACCCTAATCCTTGTCCGTCTGCCTCTGTGTGGATGTAACTGGGTATACATTTGGTTTAGTGCTTACCCTTCTAGAGTATTTCCTAACACTATTACATGAACTCATAGAAATTCAGTCATATGGCCAGGCATGGTAGCTCACGCCTGTAATCCTAGCACTTTGGGAGGCCAAGGTGAGTGGATCGCCTGAGGTCAGGAGTTCGAGACCCGCCTGGCCAAGGTGGCAAAACCCCATCTCTACTAAAAATAAAAATTCAGCTGGGCATGGTGGCGGGCGCCTGTGATCCCAGTTACTCAGGAGACTGAGGCAGGAGAATCGCTTGAACCTGGTGGGTGGAGGTTGCAGTGAGCCGAGATCATGCCATTGCACTCCTGTCTGGGCAAAACTGTGAAACTCTGTCTCAAAAAAAAAAAAAAAAGAAAAATTCTATGGTATTATGTTGTGCGTGGTTTTTGAACATCAATAATATACTGACTGTGTAATTCTACAACTGTTGTTTTTTATACAACTGACTTAAAGACTTTTTAATAACAGGGGTCTGCAAACTTGTTCTGTAAAAGGCCGGATAGTAAACATGTTAGACTTTGTATGCCATACTGGCTTTTGTAACTACCCAGCTCTGCTGTCATAGCATGGAGGCAGCCACAGATAGTATGTAAATTAATGGGTGTGGCAGTGTTCCAATAAAACTTTATCAAAACCAATGTGGGGTGAAAAAAAGAAAAAAACCAGTGAGGGGCTTAGAGGCTGTAGCAGGGGTGTCCAATCTTTTGACTTCCCTGGGCCACATTGGAAGAAGAATTGTCTTGAGCCACGAATAAAATGTACTAACACTAACAATAGCTGATAAGCTTAAAAAAGCGAAAAATTATCATAACGTTTCAAGAAAGTTTATGAATTTGTGTTAGGCTGCATTCAAAGCTGTCCTGGGCTGCAGGTTGACCAGCTTGGGCTAAGTTTCTGAATCTTTCTCTCTGTATATGTGTATGTATCTGGTTACATGCAGTATAAGGACATTTTGCTCAATCATGGACCCCATTTACAATGGTGGTCCCATAAAATTATAATACCATGTTTTACTGTACGTTTTCTATGGTTAGGTACACAAATGCCATTGTATTACAGTTGCCTACAGTATTCAGTACAGTAACATGCTGTACAGGCTTGTGGCCTAGGAATGGTAGGCTATATGATATAACCTGGGTGTGTAGTACGCTGTGCCATCTAGGTTTGTGTAAGTGCATTTTATGATGTTCACACAAGAGCGAAATCACCTAACAACCTAGTCCTCAGAATGTATCCCTGTTGTTAAGCAGTATATGACTGTATATCTATATATATTTTAATAGCTTTATTGAGATATAATTCAAATGCCATGGAATTCACTCATTTAAAGTGTACAGTTAATGGCTTTTGGCATATTCATAGAGTTGGATATTCATCACCACAGTCAATTTTAAAACATTTTCATTATCCCCAAAGAAACCTTCTGTGGGTTCTATTAATACATATTGATTCACTCTTCTTTTCAGCTGCTGAATATAGTATTGATAAGTATGGATATACTATCATTTGTTTATTCTCTTTTATTTTTTGAGAATGGCTGAAATGTTCACAGCAGGAGATTTTGTTTTTTAAAAGGTAGTGCATACATACATGGTTAAAAAGCAAATTAAAGCTGCTATAGACTGATCAATGAGGGGCAAATCTCTAACTTTTAGCCCCAGTCCCTTACTCTTCTTCCTAAAGGCCATCTCTTTCACTGGTTTCTTTTGTACCATCCAGAGATAGTCTATGCATGTAGGCAGAAATATTTTTCCATTTTCTACCTTGTAGCCAGCTCCCTTTTTTAAACGTTCTGTTCCACCTCTTGATTTTTTCACATGACAGTTAATTTAGTGATAGTTCCTTATCTGCATAGGACTCTGTCTCAGATTCCATCGTATAGATGTGTAATTTATTTACACTTACTTTCTATTGTTGGACATTTTACGTTTTCATTTTTCTGCTACTAGAAACATTACAGAGAATGTCCTTGACTGATCATCTTACATTATGTGAGAGTTTATTTCTTGACTAAGTGCTAGAAGTGCATTTGCCAAGTCAAAACATTTTTTATGGATATTGGCAAGTTGTCCTCCAAAGAGATTGTCATCATTTTATGTCCTTACTGACAGGGCAGGATAGTGCCTGTTCACCTGCCTTTGTAGTGATGTACTACCAGATGGTTTTCTCCTTCCTGGTGTGATATGCCTGCCTCTCTCTCTCTTTTTTTTTTTTTTTCTTTGAAAAAATGACATGAGTAACAAACATTGAAAGACTGGGCTTTTTGTCTTATTGATTTGTTGGGATTGTTTATATATTCTCCTTTGTTAATATGTTGCAATATTTTCTCTCTTTTTGTAGTTTGTTTTTCACATTCTTGTTTCTGTTGTTGGGCAAAAGTCTGCTTTTTAATGTAGGTGAATTATGGTTTTCTTTAGCCTTATAGTTTGTGCCTTTTGTGTCTTGTTTAGGAAATATACTGCAGGGTCATTATTTGCTTTTATTTTCTTCTAAAATGTTTTATGACATTTAGGTTTTTTATCTGTTCAGAATTGGATTTGGTGTATATGAGGTAGCCTGGTAAAGTTTCACTTTTTTCCCATGAAGATAGCCTAAATCATGCCCTCTTTCTTCATTATCGTGCACTGCTAGGTCAGATATAAGAGTTTCATATATGTGTGGTTCCATTTCTGAGTTTTTATTTAAAACAACAAATATTTTGGATAAGCCCTATATTTGTTTTTATATAGCACCTCCTACCTGGTACCCTTTCCCTAGTAGAATAAGAGTTTCAGAGAGTGTTTCACCTAGTGTATTATGAACCAACTTAGAAAAATTAGTAGAAGAAAACATCTACTGCCCCACTTGCTTATGACCACTTGTGGTGCTTAGGTGTGCTCTGTATTTAGTCTAGTCCTGGCTTGTGACCTCTAGACCAGTGTAGCCAAGTGTGTTTAACCTCTGCACTCCCATGGCTCATAGATGTCATCAGCACAGCACAAGCTGTGTTCGTATTCTCACTACAGTGTTCATTCTAGCAAATGACACCACAGCCTCTGATTGCCATGCCAGGAATCTAGAAACCATCCTTGGTACCTTTTCTTTACCTCCAGTATGACTGATGGCTAAGTCTTATAGATTCTGCCTCCTAAAAAGTTGTCAGATCTTTTCACTTTCTTTCCCTGGAGATGCTGCCCCATTCTTGGGCCAGGAAACATTCCTCACCAGGACTGTTACAGTGGTCTCTTCCATCCCTGCTTCCAGTCTTGCCCCCTCCCAACCTGTCTCCAAATAATGTGACCTGTTAAAATGGAAATAAAAATATTTCCTTTTAAAAATCCATAATTGGGCCGGGCGTGGTGGCTCAAGCCTGTAGTCCCAGCACTTTGGGAGGCCGAGACGGGTGGATCACAAGGTCAGGAGATCGGGACCATCCTGGCTAACACAGTGAAACCCCGTCTCTACTAAAAAATACAAAAAACTAGCCGGGCGAGGTGGCGGGCGCCTGTAGTCCCAGCTAG